CTATCATTGTACGTGAAAGGTACATTTTCATGTGAATTACGGAACGAGTAGGCAAACGCTGTACTGCGTTCATTCTGTACCCATAAAATAGGCTGTCAGGTATGAAAACGATCAGCAGACGATGAAAAAAACTTCTTATTTTCGATGAGGACCAAATGAATGTGATCCTGCGGGTGAGGACATACAGTTAGTGACCTAACTCATGAAGTGTGTCGAAATTTACGAATAATTGCCAATCACTCTCAAGCCGACACCATTTCATGAGTCCAGTGTCTATCTTAATTAAGTACAAGTTTAAAAGAATTAAAAACATAAAAGAAATATTAAAGGCAGTGTTGCGCTGTTTAGAAATGCAGATTTATTTTGAAAAGCCCTATATCCTGAAAACGCCAGTAATGGCTCTAATAAAGTAAAGTTCGTTTTTAGATGTATAGAATGTATTCTCATACCAAAAACGTAGCAAATATGAAATTCAAAAGGCAATTTGGCGAGCATACGTTTGCTTTCGATAAATTCTCTTCAGGCCTGTACATTTATATGGCTATTGAAGTAATGAATGCAAAAGATACGGGTAGATAGGGGAGGGTAGGGGAGGGGGAGGGTAAGACACCATAATTCCAGTCAGCGCCAGGCGGCTGCAATTAGGCTACGCCGGCCGGTCCTATGCGCGCAGAAGAATTTCGTGCAGGCCCCACAGTTACCATGGGCCAAAGCCACCAAGCCAGACACCCGCATGTAACTGCATTCGCCGGGACCCACCCTCCCCCTGGCGCTGACTGGAATTATGGTGTCTCACCCTCCCCCTCCCCTACCCTCCCCTATCTACCCGTATCTTTTGCATTCATTACTTCAATAGCCATATAAATGTACAGGCCTGAAGAGAATTTATCGAAAGCAAACGTATGCTCGCCAAATTGCCTTTTGAATTTTACAATGGGAATTTTCGCAACTCTAAAATATGAAATTAGACATAAAATAACGTCTAATATCAGTGTTTTAGTGAAGTTTACATCTAAATATCGTTTAATTGCTCGTGTGATTTCATGTATGAAGACTTGTTAACTGCCTACATTCCGAGTGTAGATTCCAAAACCGTCTTCCAGCGTTTTGTGTTATCCATGTGTCTTTTCAGTTAAATTGGATGAGATTCAACAAGAGAAATTGAAGTTTGCTGATTTCACCGATGGGGGCGTCGTAGGAACAAACGTTTTCATAAGGTGACATGCTATGAGGCATATGAACATATGAATTTACTATGTTCTTCGTCAAGGTGGAATTTCTAAACTAGATGAGTCTATTCGCTCCAGATGCCATCATAATATTTTTAGGATGACGACGCAAGCAAGTCGTCAAGGTGGTGAGACGGGAAGAACTCAGGGCGATTGGCCACAGTCCGCTTAGAGTCCAGGCGAGGGGACACTAAAGGCTGCGAGGACCATAAAAGCGCGGGGAGATGCGACCACGAGACCTCTTTGCCGACCAACCAAACGACTGGCAGATGGCGAAACCGTTTAGGAACCTCTACGCAGAGTATAAGCAGTTTGTTAACTGCTATACTTCATACCGCGCAATTTTTGGGGGATATTCAATTGCCAACTGGACCGAAGGACTGCCTTTACACGTTCTGCTTGTGCCGTTTTGTTTAGGCAGTTATTTCCATGATGTCATGGCTCGGCATGGTATTCGGTAACGGCGTGAGCAGAACGTGTACTCGACAGCGAAAACAGAACACGATCGGCAGAATGGCATTACCGACAAAGACGAGGGAGACTGGAATGGCCACTTCTGGCTTATTAGCCGTCGTCAGCCTGTTAAACCTAACCCCGAAGTGTGGAACACCTGAGGCTCGAACCCGCTACCTGTTAGTTAGAAGCCCACGCCTCTAACCACTGGGTCACGAGCCCGTTGCCCTGGGCCACGATCAGCAGGCAGAACATAGGGAAAGCACTAGACAGGCCTAACTATCAACAGTTTACTCTGAAACGTCATGGATATGGTGTGACAGGAAGTGGGATGAACTGAGCTAACGGTTTTACGTATAACATGACCTTTTGTATGTGCACTATAGGATCTGCATCTGCCGGTGCACAGTTGCGTCCTAAATGGTCTCTGTGCACGTTCATGTTCTTTCTAATTTGCATAAACCACCTGCCAAGAGTAGACCCATGCAGTTACCCAATACTTGTAGACCGCAGTACAACCCTGAGAAAATAGGCCGTAATGCTTCGATGTGTGAAGATATCGTGAACACTACGAGGTAGATTGTCTGATCGAACCATGCAGTGAAAAGGGCAAAGACTCGCGTGATGGCAAGTACCTCAGAGACAAGCCTAGGATTGCGTCCGCTGACCTCGAAATTTCTACTGTTATTAGCCTAGTGCGATCTGGGCGGTACTTGCAGGTCTCGGCCAAAGCGCAAAATCAACTCTTTCCATATTCGCTAGTGTCTTAATCGTCCCACCGAACAGAGCTGTTATATGCTACTGACTCGGCATGTCCCCGTCCTGCTTGTGCAGGTTAATCTCTAGAATCAACAGCATGGGCCAACCAATTTCTCCGTTTTGTCTTCAGGTGATTAGAATGGGATTAACAACCTGTCGGAATTCCAGTCATTGGCCTGTTTGCGAGCCGCCCCACACAAACGCTATGGCAAAGTAGTTTAGTTGACGTTTTTAAATGGTCGATGGCAAACGATTTGTCCGGTAAGACGAAGAACGAAGATATTTCGAGCACTACGTGACGGCCTGTCAGATCGAATCACCCAATGAAACGGACGAGGGCTACTGTGATCGTAGGTAACTCAGGGATAGATTAGGAATCGCGCCAAAGCCATCCCAAGCCTGTACCAACTGCTAGTCTCGAAACTTCTACTGTTATCAGTCTATTGCGATCTGGACGTTCTTACAGGTTTTGGCAAACGTGCAAAACTAACCCCTCAATACCTGAGTGTTTTGACCGTCCCAACAAACACCGCTATTATATGGGGTTCACTTGTTATATTCGGCCAGACAGGCGCACCCTGCGAGCACGTGTCTGCTTCACAAGGAATAGGTCAACCTGGGCACGTTGTAGATGCGCTGGACCAACAGGGAGGCCGTATCGCATTGTGGCGAGTGTTATCAGATGGCGCACCATAACAAAAACCAACATTTAGGGGTGCGGTGGCAAACCCGGTTGACGGTAGACATCGTGCAGCCTGGGACCGCTGCTGCCCACTTAACTGCTGTTAAAAACCTGATCATTTGCTATATGGACAAGGGAATGTGGAGTGGAGTACCAAGGTGCGGGCTCGACCGTGCATCCACCTGTGCCCTCCCCCGTCTCCGGTCTTCTTGACTCTGTCTTGACACCTGGTCCAGGTGGCGAGTGGGGAGGAGAGGGTGCAGTAGGTGCTGCGCAAGCCTAAACTCACTGTAAACTAATTCACGCGCAAGTCACTGTCCCTGCTTCACTCTGCTGTGCCGTACAAAGGTGGGCATCGTCGGAAACGACGGTCGAACTGTCGGGTCAACCTGGGATGGACGGGGTGGTAGCCTATTCCGTCCTTTATTCATAGCAGAACCGGTTAACAATAATGCACTTTTTGCAATACAGATAGCGTGCGCATGTTTCCTGCGCAGACCAATCTTTAGAATCAATCTTACGGGCCAATCACTTTCTCTCATTTGTTTTCGGGGCATTGGGTGGGATTGGCCACCTGCTGGAGTTCTAGCCACTGACCCATTTGCAAGCGGCCCCGCACAAGCTTTATGACAAAGTAGTCTAATTGACGTTTTTTAAAGATCCATAGCAAATTGTCACAAAGGCAAATCACAGTTTTAAGTAATGACACAGGATTTATCCGGTAAAACTAAGTATTAAAAATCTTCATGTGCGTTTAGTCCGAGTCATGCAGAAATTCTCCGACCTAACCACCTAAAACAGGGTGGTGTGGATTCGAGACTCAATAACGCGATAATAGATTCCAAATTGTTATCAAACACTTGCCTGCACGCGAAGTTGCCATTTATTTTAGGCCCGCAAGTCAGGTGCAATTTAAGAAACCGAGATCTTACAACTAGTGTAGGCTGATTTGGGGTTGATTGCAATGGGGTGATACAGTCTGGTTCGGAAAATCAGTACCGATCCTATGCTAGTTAGCTTAACATGTGACTTGCCGACATGCATTGGGGAGGCGGCTTGCTTCGTGACGAACTCAAACCGCTCCTGCGCTGGAACCGATCAAAATACGATCGGTGGATGACTGGTAAGTCGGGGTGAGACTTAAGTTGTTTAGGAAGAATTCCAATTTAGATGGGTATTTCTTGTCTCTTCGACTTTTAAGAAATCCGGATTCGAACCGGACTAGTGATGGTTATTAAAAAGTTCAATTGTCTAAATTCCACTTAATATGAAATTTGCGAAAATGATCGGACGATTCCCCCTTCAAGATTCCAGTTCGTACAGACAAATATCACGGTGGGACCTTCTCAATCCGATTTAGTTCTGTCCATATACTCATCGCCTTCGGTGAGTAAACCTCATTTTGATCGTTTGGCGATGGTGGTCGAGTCGAACTCCCAAGGCTCGTACCAAACGAAAAAAGCATGGTATTAAAACGATGACCTAGCCGGCGAGCATATCGAACTGCCGCACACGTACCAAGCGCTACGAGAGAGAAATTCAACGACACAGCCAAAGGTCACTGTCTGTGGTGGTGGTGGTGGTGGTGGTGGTGGTGGTGGTGGTGGTGGTGGTGGTGGTGGTGAATTTGGCTATGGTCGACCAGAGCAACCAAATTCAAAGCAGAGACTGGCATCTAAAGCCGGGTGTTTGAGAAGACGATCCTCACAGTTCGAGATTAGATTGTCAGCACGGTGAAGGTACCTCGAAAACTAGATTGTAATGCGTAAACAAATCAGGAATAAGAAAAAGCTCGACAAAAGAGCAGATGCCTAGAAAAGACCCTAGTGATAATCCCTGAAAGGCAGTTGCGAAATGTATTGGAGTGCGTAGGTATGTTAGGTGGGCTTGGCAGAGAGCTGGTGGACGAGATCCACAAAAGCGGCAACCTTCTCTGGTTCAACGTCCGGGTAGATGCCGTGGCCGAGGTTGGCGATGTGCGGTGCACCCTCAAAGGAGGTCATCATCTCACGAACGCGGGAGGTGAGATCATCAAGAGGTGAGTAGAGCGCACAGGGATCAAGATTGCCCTAGAAAAAGGAAATAAATTGAGCCATTCAACAGAACTGTTTTATCGGGTACTTTTTTTAGTAGCGTTATGTTCACACAGAATATCCTGCAAAGGGTCGATATAAGTAGCTCTAAGCGTAGTAGAGAGACCTAAAGCCGACCCCGAGGGATGAAAGCTAAGGTTTCGTCAACAGATGATCCGACAATAATCAATCGTCTAATAAGATATTGGGGTAAAGAAATGACAACGTATATAATTCAACCAGGGGTGACGACAGGCATCCCACACCAGGACTTGCGTGACCCGGCCTTCCACCCCTAACCCTTCCTCTCTCCAAAAAAACTCCAATAAACGGTAGCAGTGGCAAGGTCTGGATAATATTACTCAACCCACAGCGCTTCGTAGGCGACTGCGCACACAACCCACCGAAGTTGAGCAATGACTGGAGGGCGAAATCCTTTCTAAAAACTGCACAACCAGTCAGTGCAACTCGCGCCAACAATAACCGACTACACCGGCTGGCCTATCCGTGAGGCGTTTGTACTTCCAACAGCTGCGAATCGGGAGTCCACACACGCTGCAGGTGATGCAGCCGTAACCACTGGTAAGCCTGAGCCCTCACCACCGTCGCGAGTAAAGACGGTCATCAACAACAATGGGGGGGGGATGGTGGTAGACCCACCTACCGGTCCACGTAACGCCGGGGAGGATCCATGCTACCTCCCCACAATTGTTGTTGCTGTTTTGTGAAATCTTGATCAGTGTATGCTGTGGACCAGGGAGTGTGATGGCGCGTCTAGGTGCGGGTTCACGCCGCGCTAGACGCCTGCGCTCTTTCCTGTCTCCCGTCTTCTTGGCTCTGTCTTGGCACCGGATTGAAGTGGAGGAGTAGAGTGCGGCAGATACTGCACAAGTCTACTATTTCTACAAGCTGTAAGTGGGCTGACTCGTGAAATGTCAACCGAAATTCCGAAATACGTCTTCGTTTCGAAAAGATTAATTAAACAGCGTTGTAAAACTAGTCGGCCTGCAACATAACTATGATATTTCAGTTGCCTCAGGATGCCGGCTTTCAAACAATCCTCTTTTCGGCTGTACGCAGGAACTACACTCTGTAAAAAAAATGACTACTCACGTAGCGTGCATTTTTCTCATTGATTGTTGATGCCCCTAAAAGTCCAATTATATTTCGCGGAAAACATGCATAAAAATATTCATTCTATTGATCATTCGGTAGAAAATTACGTCTTCTTCTAATTTTATAATCGAAGGAGGGACATGATTCGGTTTGAAAAAGTTTCCAATTGTGGGACTTAAATACCGAGAAATGGCCGTTCATAAAACGTCATGTTTCTGCATTTTCAATGTGGCTTGTGTAAAGTTAACGATATGGATCAAATCCACTGCTAAATTTTATGAACCCTATATAGTCTCCATTTATTACTGTAGAAAAGTATGTGGTTTTCCGTACGCGAAAAATATACGGCTTGTAGTTTGGGAACCCTGAATATAAGTGTAACAATAGAGCGACTTCAAAATTATTCGGGAATTGAAAACCGAATTATGTCCCTCCTTCGAGGTTAAAATTAGAAGGGAACGTAGTTATCTACCGGATGAGCAAAATAATGAATACTTTTATGCATGTTTTCCGTGAAATAGAATTGAATGTTTAAGGGCATCGAAAATCAATGATAAAAAATGCATGCTACGTAAGTAATCATTTTTACAGTGTTGTTCCTGCGTACAGCCGAACAGAAGTTTGTTTGAAAACCGGCATCCTGAAGAAACTGAAATATTATAGAATTATGTTGCAGGCTGACTAGTTTTACAACCTTACTTAATTAATCTTTTCGAAGCGAAGACGCATTTCGGAATTTCGGTTGACATTTTATGAGTTAGTCCACCTACTGTAATTCACCTTCAAGTCCCCGTCCCCGCTGTCATTCTGCTGTGGAGCACACGAAATGGACACCGTCGAAATAGACGGCCCATCTGTCATGTGCGTGCCCACAGCAACAGGGGGCACTGGATGTTGTGACAGTGAAAACACTGTTGCTTTTTAATTTCCTCAGAAATTATCTACGAAGTTGGAGTGGGTCAGTTTATCCAACATCTATAGGCTCAAACCGTGTATGGGCCTTTGGCTAATACTTGTACTGTTAGTATGGTATCGCCTTACCCTAAAGTACACTACTAGTTGCCTGTCGGCAGTTAGTGAATATTACGCGGTTATCCGCTGTGGCTGATGGACTTCGGCCCAAATATTCTGATTTACTGATCTACTGCAAGTTCGCACTTAATTTCTAGGGAAATAAAAAAGAAACAATTTCAAAATTGGAGTATCTGCCAGAAAGCAGACAGGAAATGCTGGGGGACCCACTGACGAGCCAAATCCCTTACAGCTGTGTCATGCAGCGGCAGAATATCGGCGAAACACGCGTGCATTGGCTTTTGGCTACTACCTGTGCTGTTAGTATGGAATCACTTTACCCCAAAGAAAGGATGTTTTACAATGGCAATAAGGTCGATGAGCCTCTTCAATTGCACTGAACTTACGTGTGTAGCTACATGAAGTTGTGATCCAAAGATCAGCCACACCCCGGTAATGGCTTCAACTGGTAGGTTAAACCAAATGACGGTAGTCGATGCGGTCTTCCATACACTCTGGGCCTGTGGACGAAGTCCAATTGAGTTGGTGGACTTGTGTCAGTCGTGTTGTGGCACGTATAGACAAATATCTTGTAATTTTAAATGTGTGAAAATCCCCATCACTTGAAAGGTCCCGCAGAGCGGAGGAAATGCAGTCCAGGCTAATTCAGTTCGTTTATCCACTGAACCAAGGTTGTGACCCACAGGAGACCTCAGCAGTCGCTCGAGATGTTTAAGTAATCCTCTTCATGGAAACCCCGAAGAGGTGCAGCCTGTCTGTCTGGGGGCTGGCTGTGGTTCCAAGAGGCTAAGCATGCAGTCCAGAAAACAGGCGAAACAAGGACCCCTGTCTCCACCTCCCTACCCTTCCCGGCAGTGGCCCCGTTTGCTCTGGCCACCTGGATTGTCCGTTCTCTTTTAGGCAGTCCAAATGTCAACTAGCTGGACAGAAGGCTCACGAGAATCGACTTGCTAAAAATGTGGACATCGTCACGCTCAGTGAGACCTGCTCCTCGGAAAAAAGGCAGCTAAACGAGGTCAGTGCACGTTATAACCTCTTCTGGAGTGGCTACCACAAAGAGTCCCGCGATGGTGGAGTAGTCTTCGCCACCAGAAACAACCTCGTCAAGAAGCCACCCTCTACCTCCATGGGATCAACGACTACCATATTAAAACGCCGTGTTTCCCTCCTGACTTACCCTGGTCAGACATCTTCGTACTCACCGCAACAGGAACGTCCCCAGGACAGAAGACGCACCAAACACCATTAGCAACACCACCAGAAAACAACGGTGACAACTCGTCAACATTGCAAGCATACATTCTAGGCACACTCCGGCCTGATCAGTCACCTGTGAGTTGATTGCGTTACGACTGAAGAATCAGTTCCTGGAGCCCCGGCCAACACTTGTCTCTCAGGCCATGCTTGTACAGACTGCACCGCAGGAGTCAATTCGGTCGTATGCGCACACACGACAAGAGTGGTCAAAATGTTCAGATTGGAAAAGTTTAGAGATCCGGGAAGATTATTAGAAGAAGAAAATTGGCTCTCCGGAACCTGTTCCGGAGAGCCAATTTTCTTCTTCTAGTGGTCAAAATGTCCGCAATCACCGAAAGCCCATACCATCCTCACATATGCAGTCATTGCATGAACCTGGTCGGTCATATGTGCAGACATCCACCCCGCATGCATTAGCTCTACGGTGGGCCTTTGCCAATTCTTCTGTCTTCTTTATACAGTAAGTGGGCTAACTCATGAAATGTCAACCGAAATTGAGAAATGCGTTTTCGTTGCAAAAAGATTAATCAAGTAGGGCTGTAGAACTAATCATCTTGCAGCGTAATTCTAAAACAATTCAGTTACCTCAAGATGCCAGCGCTCGAACGAACGTCTTTCCGGTTGCATGCAAAAACTATACTCTGTGAAAAATGACTACATAATGGGCCTGCATTTTTTTCATTGACTTTCGATGCCCTTAGGAATTCAATTATATTTCATGGAAAACACGCATAACAATATTCATTCCCTTATTTAGTAGAAAAGGACGTCTTTTTCCGATTTTCTACTCGAAGGAAGGATATAATTCGGTTTTAAAAAACTTTTCCAAGTCCCGAAAAATTTTGAACCCGACCTGATGTTACACTTGCATTCGGGGTTTCCAAACTACAAGCCGTCTATTTTCCGCGTACGGAAAACCATGCATTCCCCTACGGTATTAATAGGAGACCATATGGGGTTCATAAAATTTGGCAGTCAATTGGAGTCATATTGTTAACTTTACAAGGCACGTTGGTAAATGCAGAGACATGACATTTTATGAACGGCCACTTCACGGTATTAAAAAATCTCACAACTAGAAACTTTTTAAAAAACGAATTATGCCGTTCCTTCGAGTGTAAAATTGGAAAAAGACGTCATTTTCTACCGAATGAGTAGAAGAAGGAATATTTTTATGCGTGTTTTCCATGAAATATAATTGAATTTTTTGGGGCAGTGAAAATCAATGAGAAAAACGCATGCTACCTAAGTAGTCATTTTATACGGAGTATTATTCTTGCATGCAGCCGGAAAGAAGTTCGTTCAAAAGTCAACATCTCAGGGTAACCAAATTGTTTTAGAATTACGCTGCAAGATGATTAGTTTTACAACCCTACTTAAGTAATCTCTTTGAAACGAAAACGCATTTTGCAATTTCGGTTGACATTTCATGAGTTAGCCCACCTACTGTACTGAATAAGGGTTTCAGTACCGAGACTCGCTGAGCACGGAAAAGCACACCTAAGGCAATAAAACTGTCAACGAAACCCGCCACTCTGAACTGCTCAACCAAAACAGCAAATCAGCTATCATTCTGGAAAGAAGGCTTATAATCTCACAAATTGTCATTTCGCAAATTGGAAAAGTTTCTGAAAACCGAATTGTACCCCTCCTTCGACTATAAGATTGGAAGAAGACGTAATTATCTACTGAATGAGCAAAAGAATCAATATTTTTATGCATGTTTGACATGAAATATAATTTAATTTTTTGGGCATTGAAAGTCAATGATAAAAATGCATGCTACTTAAGTAGCCATTTTACACAGAGTATTATTTTCGCATGCAGCCAGAGGAAGTTAATTCGAAAGCCGGCATTCTGAGGTAACCGAAATATTATTGAATTATGTTGCAAGCTGACTAGTTTTACAACCTTACTTGATTAATATTTTTGAAACGAAAACGCACTTTGCAATTTCGGTTGACATTTCATGAGTTAGCCCACCTACTGTACGTGCACCCGCGTAGCATACGATAAGCAAAGACTACGCTACGCCAGACACTGCGTCCAATGTCATTGACAATCGACTAAAAGGCTTAGGGAACTTCCCGGTGTGTGTGTGCAAGAGAGATGGGGAGAGAGCGCCCGATGCCGGCATACTCTTCTTCATGGTAAATCAACGTAATCCTCATTATAGTGAACCTGACGAACTTGTACCTACCAGAACGAACTAAAAGCCGCGGCTAATAAAGTTATCAACTGACGACGTAATTCGGTCGTGTTTTACGGCGCGGTCCAGACTGAAATGACACTCCCACCACGTACAGTCAATGATCGATCTCAAGAAATGTTACCCGAAATCCCTAAGTGTGTTTTCGAGTAGAAGGAATTACTTAAGTGGGATTGTAGTAATGATTACCATGCGGCATAATCCCATGATATTTCGGACTTCCTTTCGGCCGCCTGAAAAAGCGCACTCGGTGAAAAGTGACTACTTAAGCAGTTTGCACTTTTTCCGTCGATTTTTGATATCCTTATAAATTCACACAAATTTTATAGAAAAACATGCACAAAAATGTGCGTCCTTTTACTCGTTTGGTAGTAAATCACGTCGTTTTCCCAAGTTATACTAGAAAGAAGGGTATATTTGGGTTTCGAAAAAATTTTCAATCCCAGAATAATTTTGAGCTAGATCAGTCATCGCGTGAGCGTCAAGCGATTTCAGTTTGCAAGGTGTATACCTTCCGCGTAAGGAAAATCGTATATTCCTCTATTTCTTTTGAAACATATGTATCATGTATAGCTCGTAGTATTTTGCAAGAAATGCGTACTATGTTGTATACTTTACGATGAGCATTAATAAACGGACAGGTACTACGCTGTATGAATAGACATTGCATGGTCCTAAAAATCGCATAATTAGAAACTTCTTTGCAAATTGAAAGGTATCACTTATTCGACTACAAAATCTGAAGAGAACGTAATTTGCTAGCAAAAAGAAGTACTTTTGAAGAAGTTTTCTACAAAATATATTTAAAATTATAAGAGCGTCAAAAATCGACGGGAGAAAATCATGCTACTTAAGTGGTCATTTTTTCACCGAGTCAGGTTCCTACACGCCGAGATATTAGAGGATCATGCCCCATAATAGTAAATAATTCAATAAGTCTGTTTCACACGTAAATCGTGGACAATGACGGCTCTAACAAACAACCGATGTCCGCGGCGAAAATCGAAGCATAAAGGGGCACAGAAAACGTTGGATGCGAAAAAAGAGCGCTAAGAAACACTCATTTAACCAAGTGAGGTAACTAAATGCACTAGGAGACTAACAAGTTGATTGCACTTCGCTACCTGTTTGGTAGGGGAGGGCCGTCATATAAACATCCTAATTATGGGGATAAATTCGAATTTTAGAATAGAAAAAAACGTGGCCGATTTTTTTCCAACAACAACCTCCTATGACGTACTCGCTCGCGAAGGAAGACCACATGTCATGGTCAAAGATCTGGCATCTATTTAAGCAGAGACATATACTGCAATGAGTTCTGGAAAGTTGTGTGCCCTCGTCGGAGTGTCCTCAAACACATTCTTCTGTCGAAAACAACGGCGTGAGAACAAATTTAACGGTGACTTGTGATTTTCATGTTGCAGTAGGTCGCACTTCAGACTCTCGAATTCGCTAAAGACCTTTCGGAGCCCGATAGGTTGCGTCTTTCCGCAAGATCTCATCGACTTAAACCCCTACACGGGGTTCGCACCGAGCTCAGTTGCAAATTGTGCAAATTCCCTCAAAATCCCAGCACCAGGGTAACTTTCGCTTTTACGACTCATTACATCTTGCACAGACAAAAACGTGGAAGGATGAGCAGTAGGGACATTTGGGTCGAATACGCAAAGAGTGGACGAGGTTTGAGACAAAGGTCATGACGCCACCTACCTGGAGAGTGACTTTGTCACCGACAATCTTTCGGACTGCTTTTGGATCGCTGGTCCAGTCCAGTCCGATCACCTCAAACCCCACTGCTGCCAGGGCCTCGAGGGCAAAGTGTCCATCTTTTGCGTACATGACTATGGGCGGACAGGTCTCCTTTGTGAAGCCATACCCAGTCATCAGTTTCTCTCGAGTCTCCTGGTAGATCCGCCTTAAACAAGGCAGCGCAAAGGTGGAGAAGAGGTGGGGCGAAAGGACTCCCGCGTGCGACTCAAAGACCTGAAAGAAGGAGAGGAAGCCGTTGTTCCCACGTTGTTATCAGTGACAAAATATGTCCTGAGGTGGCACTAAACCAGATGCACCAGGCCTCCCTGTTGGTAGTGGCAGTGGTGGTGGTGGTGTTGTGGGTCAGACAGTGGATTTCATAGTTCGTCAGCAGAGTGTAGGCGTCAGGGTTCGCAACCACAAGGCGGGAGGGCTCTTCCCACCAACTCATACACTCGAATCTACATCTTCTAGTAAACCTCACATGAGCCACAACACAGTGGTTGACAGGTTACAGTGAGTGACCAATCTCATGAAATGTTGGCTGAAATTCTGAAATGCGTTTTCGATTAGGAAGGATTACTTAGGCGCGGTTGTAATACTAATTAGCCTGAGTCATAATTCTATAATATTTCCAACTCAGCAGGATGTCAGCATTTGAATACACTGCTTTTCAATCTCCTGTAGAAAGCGTGCTCGGTAAAAAATGACGACTTAAGTAGCATGCATTTTTCCCATTGATTTTGGATGGTCTTGGAAATTCAAATATATTTTATAGAAACCACAAACAAAAATATGCTTTCTTTCAGTCGTTTGATAGAGAATCACGTCATCCTTATATTTTATTCACAGAGGACGTATAATTAAGTTTTTAAAAAGTTTTCTAATTGCCGAATAACTTGGAGCCTGATCAGTTGTTGCATTATCGCTTAGTAATTACAGCCCACAAGGTGTATGCGTTCCGCGTAAAGAAAACCACATATTCTTCTATGATTTTAACAAGATGCCATATGGAGTTCATAAAATTTTGTAATGGATGCGGACCATGTTGTGCATTTCATGAGGAGCAGTGGTAAGCGAACAGGTACGATTCTGTGTGAATGGACACTGTATGATCTTAAAAATCGCGCAATTATAAACTTTTTTAAAACCTGATTATACGCCCTCTTTGAGTATAAAATATAAAGATGACGTGATTCTCTGAAAGAAAGCATACTTTTGTTTGTGGTTTCTATAAAATATATTTGAATTTGCAAAACTACCGAGAATCAGTGTGAACAATGCATGCTAATTAAGTAGTCATTTTTTACCGATACAGTTTCTACAGGAGATTGAAAAGCAATGCATTCAAAAGCTGACATTCTGGCGAGTCCGAAATATTATAGGATTTTGCCGTAAAGTAATCAGTATTACAATCGCGCCTATGCAATCCTTCCTAATCGAAAACGCATTTCAGAATTCCCGCCAACATTTCATGAGGTCGGTCGCTTACTGTATGTTGCCTGCAAGCGAAGAGAAGTACTCTTGCCCCTGGCAGCCTGGCTAATCCTTCCGAGTTTGCTAAATGTATGACAAGGGAAGAGTGTAGGACCAGGCTATAGGAGCTAGATTTAGGAACAAATGCGAAGAGCGCAGACAGTCTGGGGGCATAGGACGAGTGTTAGACAGCACCGAAGCCAGACATGTTGGCACTGACTCACCTGAAGCATTTGGGCTCCCGCAGCAACCTGCTGTACCAAGTGCTCAATCACAACAGTCGTCAGAAGGTCCAAAAGCCGATGACTGCTGGCGGGGTCTGTGTAAAGCCAGCGTTTGGCCTTTGCATGCGTTTTGGAGCCTCCGCCCTCAATCATGTAGGACATGAGAGTCCAGGGAGCCCCCGAGAATCCAATCAGCGGGACCTGGCCCCCCAGCCTGTGTCGTGTCAGCGTGATGGCCTCGTAAACATACTTCAGAGCGGTTGCCACGTCCACGCTGCAATCTAACCGATCCAGATCGTCCCCAGACTGCAGAGGCTCTGGCAGCTGAGGGCCCACACCGGGGGTCATTACAACATTCATACCTAGCGCCTGTAGATTGAAATGAAGTAAACGGTTACCAAAATAAGTAACAGTCAGTCTGTCTAATTTAAAAAAAGGCACCAACAGGCAAGGTTTGTCTGTATGGTTAGCAGAAAATGCGCAAATGTATATCCACGACCCGGATGTATTAGAGCCCTGGATGAGGACGTTGGCGTCATGTCGGTTGCAAAAAGCAACAAGGGCGGTTTTTAACTCCATCAAAATTAAGTCAGCTAGTCCAATTTGGAGTCCTTGATCTCCTACAGTCCTCGTTCAGCACCACTGAGACGCAAGATCTTCGTAGAAATAGGCCCGTAGGCAAATCGATGTAGTTTTTAGGTTGAGGTGGGTATTCTTACAGAGAACCTCGAGTCCTTTAAAGTCTGCTGATACTGAGGTTCTTATTGAAAGCATCGAAAGATGCAGTAGAAGCCTCCCAATAGCTAAGACTCGCATTTGGAAGAACACTCGGTCTCACTCCGCATGTACGGACAAAAATGCCTTGACAGGGAGACAGGACCTGTCTGTTATTCGAGGCACGGACAACTCTGCGCATCAACGGGATGGCCCTCAGTGAAGGCAACTCACAGGTTAGGGTCCTACCCGCACGCCGGACAATACTGGATGTATTGCCTGTGCCCTCCCCCCCTCCCCCCCCATAAATATTTATGATTTGTAACGCGAACAGCAGGATCGACAAAACCGTAATTGACGAAGAAGCCTAACTTGCCCCATGAAATTGCAGACGTCTGGAAAGTACTTCAGTGAACGCCGCTTCTTCCTCCCTTGTTTGTGTATCGTGACTGAAAAAGACCGGCCAATCTAAAAACCGTAGCGACAGTTCGACCGTCGTAATCTACGTAAACCGTGTACCCGAGGGGGCGGGCGCGGCGACGGCGAATTGCCCCTGAATTAGTTTATTGTGAAGCAGACTTGTGCAGTGCCTATCGCACTCTCTCCACCCCCTCCCCCACACAGTGGACTCCGGTCGCAAGACTGTCCAGACGACCGGAGGTGGGCGCGGACGCAGAGGCTGACAAAGTTAGACGAACGTGATAATTTCCATGCGTATCGCATTTGTCACAGTAAGGGGCGCACCGAGGTGCCGTGAATAATACGGATTTTCCGGTGTCGGAGAGACTCTCTCTTCGCTCTTTTATCCACCAACCGACTGTCCGAGCCTATCAATCAGTGAAAAACAGGGATTTGACGCAATGGCTAGCAATGCCAAGCAGTCCGTCTACGCGTGCAACACACACGATCTGGTCCCCACTGCGTGTGTCGGACTGTTGCAAGGGCGGTTCAAATCTCACATTCGTGGGAACGTCATAAAGGCTATCTTACGAACGAGCCACTTTGGCCTGACTGTCAATCCTCCGAAGGACCGCGTTATATCGTGAGTTGGCAAACTTCCCAGTCGCGACTCCTAACGCGTCGTGATAGTTTCGAAACCCGTCAGGTTTAACACAGTGAGGAACACGTAGATGTGCCGTAAAGATGGATTCCCCAGTGTCGATCTCTCTCTCTCTCCTCTCCATCCACCAGTTGGGTGTCCGAGGCTGCCAACCAACGAGTGAAGGGATTGGCAAAGCTAAACAGCCCGTCTACGCGTGCCCCACATATACCAGACTCAATAACTACAACCGACACTATGTGCTAATGCTCTGGGATAGTCTCCTTTTAACAGAACAAGGAGTTGACATGTACAGAAAATTTTAACCCAGTGTAAAAACGGCAAAGCTGTCCGGCCTCAATAAGGCAGATACAGACGGCAACATAGATGACTTGGACGCAAACCGAAAATGAAAAACTAACCTGCGGAATGACAAGAATATCGGAAAAAATGATTGCCGCATCCAGATTGAACCTTTTTACAGGCTGGAGAGTTATCTCACAGGCTAGCTCAGGAGAACGACAAATGTCAAAAAATCCGTGCCTCTGTCTGACAGCCCGAAATTCCGGTAGGTAACGGCCGGCCTGACGCATGATCCAGACCGGAGTGTAGGGAACCTCCAGGCCCCTGGCAGCGCGCAAAACAACGTCATTTTGCAGAGGGGGGAAACACTCCGTTTTGTTCATTAGTCTAGCAAAGAAAAGAATTGCATCAGAACGGCAAGAGGATCAATCTTATTTCGTAACTTTGTGGTTTACCCTCTGTGTAATACCGCGCTATCAGACTGAAAGTGTGGACGAAGTATCCCAGACAGAACTATAAAAAAAATGTTTTCCCAAAGCAACTTTTCGGAGGGGTCGAAAACGGACTGGTTTGCTGGTCTATACAACATGCCCAGCTCTACATATTTCATTGAGAATGCCAATGACCAGCTGTAAGGCCGTCGAATCTCCAGCCGTCGGAAAATCCCAGGCAGCCCGCAGATTGTTAGGGTCGCCTCACATGAGTAGCATACCCTGCCCTACGTGGCGGACAAACATAAAGTCATCTTACACCGCGCGCGCTACCGCTGGAAGATATTCAAGACGCGATGGAGCAGGCCGACCGGTAGATACGCGTTGACACTTCGTCAATCGCGCCTCCAGCCCGACAGTCCCGGAGGAATCGCGTCAACGTGGTAATGCTACAACACCGGTAGATTACGGTAGAAATTTTCCCTCACGACGACTCCAAGCACCGACTCGTTAAAATTATAATCCGTGCGAGTGCCCCCCCTAAGTTCGGGAAAACAACCGTATTCCAACAGGCTGGTGTGTACTCGCAACACGGCATCGTTTTCGGTGGCACCCTTCTACGTAATCGGACATGTTTCATGAGGTTTCTTGGGAATTTCGAATACAGGCGTGTCCACAACAGCCGCTCGGATTGTTTGTTCGAGGTTGTCTCCTCTAGCGCTTTGGCTTAAAAAACCTAACTACAAGGCAGCGGTGGCTAGTAAACTTAATTAATGGCGGTTTACGGTCGCCATGTCACAATGCCGTCATTGGGTTTTGCGGCATTTTATAAGGCTTTCAGCGTGCCAGACTTCAGCCCACCGCACCCTGGTAGCAATGTCGCTGCTGGTCCGCGACTGCTTATTCGTCGGACTTGGGTCTGCTTATTTCGCAGCTAACTTTCACTGAAGGTCGTCCCACTATCCGCCACTTGTGGACGCGCCGGGTAGCCAGCAGCTAGGCTAACGGGCAACCCGTCTTCCCGGCTGCTGCCTAATGGACAGAGTAAGGACGGCATTGTCTCCCGAATCGATGCTGCCCGTTGGGTTTTTTCAAGCCTTCGAAAATGCCTGTGGAACCGACGTGACCTCTCCATCGCCACTAAGATTCGCGTGTACCGTGCATCTGTCCGGTCTGTCCTTCTCTACGGTTGTGAATGCTGGGCTTCGCGCGCGGCGGATGAGCGCAAACTGGAGGTATTGGACCACCACTGCTTGAGGATCATCCTTCGAGTGAAGTTAACCGACTTCGTCTCAAATGAAATAGTCCGCGCTCGCTGCGACGACATCGCAAGGATAACTCAGGCCATCCAAGAGAGACGACTGAGGTGGTTCGGGCATGTTCTTCGTCGTCCACCTCAGGAGCTCAGTGTTACTGCCCTCGATCCGGCACCGTTGCACCATTGGAGGCGTCGAAGAGGGGGTCGGTTCAAAACCTGGCTCGACCCTGTCCGTCAAGACATGGAGGTGGCTCTTGGACCTTCGGTATTCGGTCTCCGTCGTTGGCGAAGGGAATGGGTTGAGCTGTCTAGATCTGCTGCCGCGGATTGTCACGCGTGGAGAGGTACAGTTCGGGATATCACCGAGGCCGGCTAGATCAGACATGATCGCAGCCGTATCAAGTACAAGTAAGTACCCTTCTAAGTTGTGGTCTCAGTGGCCTACCAGTCAGTGAATGCGCTGATATATCCTGGTGTCATAGACTGTCCAGTTGATCTGCATGTGATACCACAACATCTCTATCGAAACATGGCTGGGACATACCTACTACTTGGACAAACCGTGGCAGACGGTCGGTTCCATATCACTAGCCATCCGCATTCCCAATTCCGACGTCGAACACTTTCATAGTAACCCGTCATTTGACGTGAGGTAGTCTCCTAGGCGTAGGTTTTTCAGTACAGGAGGGCTGCAACATCCGCGTAGAACGGTGGGTAATACCATTGAACAGATGTATCGACAGGCCACAAACTGCCCGTTGCCGCTTTTGATGAAGTGGCGGTCTGTGCAGCGAAAGTGACTGCAGTTCAGATTCCTCCGACGGCAACAGATAGCTCAGTCCGCACGTTGGCATGAGACTTCGCAATAAAAACTCAAGTGCCTGTATTGTCCGGGCAAGCAACACGCTAACGCCGATGCTTCATCACGACGCCCGTCCACTCTGGAGGCTGAGAACTGGGACGGCATAATGGGTCAGACCAACGATAGTCTGGTCGGCGAACCGACGTGGTACAATTAGGTTGTTAACCAAGGTGCAGACTCGGACAGCCTTGGCCTTTGACTACCTCATACACGGATGACGCCAGCACAGGAAGACGAATTACATCGATTACCCGAAGAGGCATATATCCTCCGCAACCTGTGGACCCACCTACTTGTCAGTAAAAAAAAATTCTATCGTTCAAAGACGATGCAGCCAAATCATCTCGGTTCATTGCTGATGGTAGTATCGTGCTATCAGCACTTACAGATATACCCAATGAGCTAGCCATGACAAAGGAACCAGGAGGAAAATAACTGTGTGACGATTTTGGTGGCCCCACCTCACCCAGTAGGCCGCCACTTTCTGCAATGCTTGTACAACTAGTAAATCTTTTGAAGCCCCACGAGTGTGCGCACCGCCATGACCTATGCACACACGTTTTTCCGCTCTAACAGCTAGGTCACGACATCGGCTATACCAGCTATGGAGGACCACTTTTCTAAGTGAGATAAAGCGGTACCGTTACTACAAGACGCTTTCACTGAAGGTCGCAGTATTCAATGACTGAATGCTGCTCCGGGGCGCTTGTGTTGATCCGGACCGATTGCGCGGCCGATTCTGACACCGCGATGTCTCAATCAACAAGACAATGGATCTTTTCCATCATTTTGGTGCCCCGTGCTAGACTTCTGCTAGCCGCCCTGATTTGCGGGTTATTAATCTAATTGACTGACCGTGCTTAGCCTTCGCGAGAAAATTATCTGTACTGCCACACTCCTCACCGACGCTTACCTCCATGCACTTTATGTGTTAGGTCTGACGCCCACCTCCAGGACACTCCAGTGTCTCACTTACGACACCACCCTCCAACTAGAGTGAGCATGCAAAATCGATTTCGAATAGGGATCCGACACTTCCTGGCGTGAGTGGTTTGGCAAGGCACTCGACCTCAGCCACGCAGAGCGTACTCGATGCACGCCTACGAACGCAAACTCTATAAAACGAGATGTTGGACAAAACTAACGCACATGTGCAGGGAGGCTAGCCGCGTATCTGGCACCACAAGCGCAATCGCTGCTAACGTGCGTGCGTGTGTGAAATGCTCTCGAGGTTAGGGCGCCGACTGAGCCCCGTATGAACTTGTCGACCCCTCCCTCCTAACTCGCCCAAGAGGGCGCGTAAATTTCCTGCAGTCTGGCACACGAAAGAACTGCTACGCCGACAGTGTCTGCCAAGACTGCAGAAAAGATTCAGGCAATCACATGTGATTGCCTGAATCCTTTCTGGTCGCGAGTTAGTCCTGCAGGGATTGAGAGGTGCGTTTTTATAGAGAAGGACGAAGTATGTTGTCCACCCTCTGCATTGAAACTCATGAACATTCTTCCTGCACAGCCCTCTGAGTGAACTCTCCGTCGTCATTTCATTATGAAATTATTAATGAGTAAGGAAGTAAATTCGATTCCACCCGGGCTTTATGAAAAACATTGTTTTTCCCTGTGCAAAAGTTCTGATTCACAATATATGTATATGCTTAAAAAATTGAGTGCGCAATGATTCACAATAAACCAGACTCACTCCTACCCGAAGAGGTTTACCAGCCTTTCAGTGATAATGTGAACGAGGGAAAGGGGGGATGAACAGTTCGTCCACTCGCGAGTGAAATCTTGTAGGGTCGCCGCGCCTTTACGTTCCCTATTGGCCCTCAAGGCCTGCTCGCTGATTGGTTGATTCTCTTTCCAGATGTTCTTGGAATGCACCGGACTCACAGTAACCTACCCGTCACTAACCCTCTAGGGCAGTTTGTAGCGGCCGATGACGTCAATGGTAGCACACAATCACGTAACAGAACACCGGAAAGAGATCCTGGCTTGCGTTGATCTGAATACGATCGTTAGTAGTTCACGATACTCATCCGTACATAAAGGAAGAAGAAACGACCAGTGGATTTAATTTAATTTTAATTTAATTTATTAAATGCCAGTTTACAGGCATTGTCAAAGGAAGCGATTAAACACAAATCCGAAGGGAATTGGTAAGGTGTATAATGATAGTTAAAAGTACAAACAGGGCTAGTTACAACCATTGGGTGACCTGTCTGGGTGGAGAGTCGCTACCAAAATGCCAGCTAGTAAACCGGCGGGGAACGCGCGCTGTGGGCAACTGCAGGGAGGGGCCGAGGGAGGTGCCGATGTAGCGAGGAGAGCGATCGAACGTTACGTTACGATACGATGCAGGGGAAGGAATCGGCGGAAGACGGAGGAAAGGACACCGGCCATCCTCACCGACACGCGACTGCGCCATCTCCACCCTAGGTCCTCGCACCAAAAAGTGTTTCAGCGCTCAAACAACCCTGCACAGATTAGGGGACGTTAAAGTTTAATGCACCACAAATTCAATGGAGTTGTTTAGATGAGCTGTGGCCACTTTTAGCGCAGATCCTGGATGGGTCTTGTGTGATCGTCATCCTGTGAAGGTGGCCGGTGTTCCTTCTCTCCCCTGCTAGCATCAGTCCAAGCTGGCCCGCTCTGGGCTGATTGGACTGTGTTGGACCATAAGGCTGGGCTACGGCGCGGTAATGCGGATTTGACCCTGTTGACCCCTTACCGAGAAAAATGCGCAGGGAGGATTGCTTCTTTCTGGCACCCTTTTACGACATGGAATCCATCGCCGCTTGCATATCAGCTGCTGCGCCACCACTACTTATAGCCAAT